AGCTTTGTTCTTGAGAAAGGTTGTGGCAAGCACTTGAGAGAATATTTTCGTTTCTGATTTTGCAAGCCTTGAAGAGGAATATCTTGTGCCTTGCACCAGGTTTATACTACAAAAGACATCACCTTAGTGATGTCAAATCTTGGTTAGTACATGCCTCTTCTCAATGGGAAGTGACTGCTGCACTAAGTTTAATTATAGTTAGTTAGAGGGGCTAAGATGATTAACATAAATTGGTAATTCAGGGAAGGTCAAGGATAATTTAGGTACTTAGAGTGGCAAAGGAATGTTGTAGGATAAACTAGAACACCCTAGAAGCTTCTAAAATGGGGCCTCAATTGTAGTTTCAGGAACTTAGGGTAATAACTTAGGCAACAAGTTAAAACTTTAGGATTAGTGAACAAAATCTGAAAATAAAGAGGGAGAAAATGAGTGAAGGAATTCCAGAACCTTCCTGCCCTGTTCCTGCCTATAAAAGGCAGCCTACCTGCCTTCATTTGCAAGTTTGGAACAATCTGAAAAATTCCCAAAAAAGTTTTAACAATCTGAAAATTCCAAAAATTCCCCCCAATACACATTTTCTGCAAGTTTAAGATCTGAAATTTGAATTTCAAATTCAAATATTCAAATCTGAAGTCCTATAATTCAAACCTTCTCTTAGATCTTATTTTCTGNAAATCTAGGGTTTGAAGCTTTCAACCCGTTCTAGGAATTTCAAGCGTTTCTGTTGGTTTCTAATTAATGTTATATGTCTATTTTGGACAAAATAAACATATAACACTAATTGAAAATCAAATTCGAGATTAGTCGAGTCGAAGGCCAAAAATCAGTAAGATCTTTTTTCTTTTATTTGATTATTTTTTCTGCCTGTTTTGATTTTGTTGTGATAATTGTTAGTAAAGTTTTTGTTTAAATTCTCCTTGTTCTTCTTTTTTCTTTGTAGATTTTTCGTAGGCATTAGTTTCCTATTTTTGTTTGTTCTTGTTCATCTCAGTATTTCATTTCTTTTTGTCATCTATTGACTTGATTCTCATACTGATTCTGCTTCTAATATGGACAATGTTTTGTTTGTTTGTTTGACTGCTGATAGATAATAGTAGTTTGTAATCCAAATAGCTAGTCAGTGTTAAGATTTGTGATAGACTTGGTTTGGCTGATTAATTTTTTTTTTAGAATTATTAGTTTAATTATAGTTAGTTAGAGGGGCTAAGATGACTAACATAAATTGGTAATTCAGGGAAGGTCAAGGGTAATTTAGGTACTTAGAGTGGCAAAGGAATGTTGTAGGATAAACTAGAACACCCTAGAAGCTTCTAAAATGGGGCCTCAATTGTAGTTTCAGGAACTTAGGGTAATAACTTAGGCAACAAGTTAAAACTTTAGGATTAGAGAACAAAATCTGAAAATAAAGAGGGGAAAAACGAGTGAAGGACGTCCAGAACCTTCCTGCCCTGTTCCTGCCTATAAAAGGCAGCCTACCTGCCTTCATTTGCAAGTTTGGAACAATCTGAAAAATTCCCAAAAAAGTTTTAACAATCTGAAAATTCCAAAAATTCCCCCCAATACACATTTTCTGCAAGTTTAAGATCTGAAATTTGAATTTCAAATTCAAATATTCAAATCTGAAGTCCTATAATTCAAACCTTCTCTTAGATCTTATTTTCTGCCAAAAATCCAAAAACAAACGAAAAAATACAATAGAAAATCCAAAAAAACAATGTTACATTGCATTTTCTAGGTTAATTTTGAGTCTTATGCATTGATTCTCATCTATTCTAGTTGCTGAAGTTTTCAAAAGGTTCCTAGTTCAATTTCGAGTAAATTCGAGGTCAAACAAGTGTGTTTTGGTTGATTTGTTGCTGTTGATTCCCTGTTACTCCTTCCTGGGTATTGTGGTTTGATTTGGGTTGAAATTGGCCCTATACTTGCTGGTGTGAACTCTGATTTGCTTAACTGTTGCTGACCTCTCTCTTCCTTTTCAAATTCCAGGTATCTCCTGATTATCTATGAGATGACTTCCAAACCTGAAGGCTGTAATTGCTTGAAATCTGTTGCACAATGAATGATAGCTTCCTGTTAACATTCAATATTGTTTTTGTTTAGTTTTGTTTAAACTCCTGGATTCAGTAGTGTAACATAATAGTATTCAGCATAATATATTCATCTTAGCATAATGATAACATTTGGGAATTCATGTCATTCTTCTGCTTGTTGGAAACTGGTGGACTACTAGCGTGTTTGAACATTGATGAAGCTGTGTATGTGGACTGCTGTTTAGTATATCTATTGGCTTTAATTCTGCATATAGACAGCTATGTGATTACCCCTGTAACGATCTCTGGTTTGATATTTTGCTTAAAGTTAGAGTGTCTTCCTTGTTCAATTATGCATGTACACTACTGAGTTGTTTCATAAGTTGTACCCACCGCTCCGCATGATTTAAGTTAATTTCAGAGTTTTCATAGTTATTCAAAAGCTAGTTTAACAGGTCAATATTGAGTTTAATAAACTGATGAGTCCCTAGCTCAAAGGCATTTGATTAATTTGATCATGTGTTATCCACTTTTTAACAATTATAATCTGGAAATCAGTTATACATGTACAAATTCAAGCCCAAAAGGGTCCTATGTGTTATTTTGATCTTTTTGCTGATGACTGAGCAACACAAGGTCTGTGTAGTATAGTCCATGGATCTCAATTTTTGGCTGGCCTCACAATGATTTATCATGGCCCAATTCCAGTGTGGGGACACAATCAGATGCAGTATACTCGACTTTAGGTCACTGGGACTCTCCTCCAGGCCCAGTTGTGCTCCAGGCGTGCCTTTGCATTTGGCCAGTGAATTTTAAATTCCCCAGCCTACTTTTAGCGCTTTATTTTTTTTTTTCGCAAATGGATATTGCCTGTTTGAATCAATTAGGCTCAGCTTAGATGTTGGGCTTAAAATCAATCTCTATGGCCTTAGTCAATTAATAGGACTCCTAGAATAATCTTAGGAGAGCCATCTTAGACAACACAATAGTCTATGGCCCTTCAAGCTTTGGTCGAATATCCTTTAAAAATGAAATTGAGGTGCGCTGCGCCAAATAAAAATCACAAAATTGCGTGGCCCTCTTAATTACTTCTACTAAAATACTTAGAAATCGGGACGTGCCATTTAGCGAATTTTCATGGCCTCCCACAAAGTTATAAACACGTTAGTTGCTTTAGGCGCGTATTTTAATAATCTACTTTTCTAAACTCGGGTGCACATTTATGTGACCCAAATCCAAATCTCAACGAAGTCGAAATGTGTCAAAAACTGCGGGTGCATTTATGTGACGTGGTTCGAGACGCGTTTTCACGACGTTGCAATTCTCTTTAAAAATAATAATAAAAGCGGTTTAGATTTAAAAAGCACATAAGTGAAAACATGTATTAAAATCAGATTTTTAGCCAATTATAATAATTTAAGCGACCGTGCTAGAACCACGGGATCCGGGGGTGCCTAACACCTTCCCTCGGGTCAACAGAATTCCTTATTCAGAATTTCTGGTTCGCAGACTCCAAATGGGAAGTCGAAAGTTTCCTCGATCTGGGATTCAAGTTAAACCGGTGACTTGGGACACCAAAAGCCAATCCTATCCTAAGTGGCGACTCTAAAAATAAATAAATAATCCCATTTCGAATAATGTCACTTTAAATGGAAAAACTCCCTTATACATTATCCTTCGGGGTAGGTGTGTAAAAAGGAGGTGTGACAGTGATTGGTACTGATATGGTGAGATCGGGTTGCACGCCGCAACATGAGGAATAAGGGTGATATATTGAGGAGGAATAAGGGTGAAATGTGATTGTCTGGTGGGATCGGGTTGCACACCGCATCAGGAGGAATAAGGGTGATATATTGAGGAGTAATAAGGGTGGATTGTTATTGTACGGTGGGATCGAGTTACATGTCGCAACATGACGAATAATGGTGGATTGATACAGAGAAATAAGGGTGAATGTTCATATTGTTGCTGATTATATGGTGGGATCGGGATGCGCGCCGCATCAGTTTATTGTTTATGTATCCTTCTTCTGCTGTGAATTTATTCTGTGGTTATGTATCTCACCTAATGATTGGTTATAGATGGGTACTGATAAGATATTGGAGTTCCGTGTTCATTTTACTACACGTTTCTGTTTCATTTTGTTCCGTACTTCTTTTTCGCTATTGTATATTGTATGCAGGTTATATTGTGATTGCCTCGCTGTAGCCTCGTCACTACCTCGTCGAGGTTAGGCTCAGTACTTACTAGTACATGGGGTCGATTGTACTAATACTGCACTCTTCACTTTCTGTGCAGACTTTGGAGCTGGTAGTGTCCGATCGAGAGGTCGGTTGCAGATATTTCATCCCGGAGACCCAAGGTAGTCCTGCTGGCATCCGCAGGCCCTGGCGTCCCCTCCTGCGTTTTTTACATTCATGTTTTCTTTTCTCTCGAAACAGATGTAATTTCTTTCAGACCAATGTTTGTAGATATTCATAGTATGTTCGTGGATTGTGACACCAGACTCTGGGTAGTAGTAATAGTTATGGTATCGTTAATAGACAAAAGGTTATTTTCGTATTTTTGCATTTATTTCTACTTGATTTAGTCTGTTAAATTTTAATCTATGAAATGTAAAGGAAAGAGGTGGATAAAACTCTAATGTTGGCTTGCCTAGCAAATGCGATGTTAGGCGCCATCACGGTCCCGATAGTGAGAATTTCGGGTCGTGACATAATGTGTGATAATTAAGTTTGTGTTCAATGGTACAATTCTTAACCTTTCTCTATATTCCCCTTGCCTCAAACTAAGTAACAATAACAATAAGGGAATATAAAAATAAAAATAAAAAGGCAATTGAGAAAAAAAAAAAGGGAAAAAAGATGAAAGGGACCACAAAAATAAAAAGATGAAGAAGGAGGCTATTTTGGTCAAAGAGTGAGGGGACTGCAGCTGCTTATAATAAACCTGACAATAGTATCAAAGAGATATTTTCACTCGGCCTCTGCGTTGAGCTTGTTGTGGCAGTTAGGGTTTTCTATACTACAGAACGGTAAGAAATCGTTTTCACTCACACTTACGTCTTCGATCCTAGTACATTTCTTGCGTATATTCTTCAGATCTGCTTACTAATAGACGCCTCGATTCACCATTTCTTGTCTTACGATCTTATTTTCTCTAATCGATGGTCAGAGAAGTATAAATCAGTATTTTGTCGAATTCTTTTGATGCACTTAGGATAGAGTTAGTTTGTTACAACATTTATTTTGTGGAGCTAGTGAAGTTGATTTGTTAGTTTCATGAACATTATATGTCTTGTTCCTATTCGGATGTGAATTGAAGTTTTTGGTTCTACTTAACTAAATTGTTACTGAAAGTTAGGTTCTAAGAAGAGTTTGAAAATGTTTTCCACTTTTTTTTTTAATGTATGTATTGGATGGAACCCATTCGTATATACGATATAGTTCCAAAAATTAGCTCTTAGGAGTTATATGGCATCTGTAGGCTTAAACAGTTTCATTTCTCCGAAGCTCTTGATGAACTCTTTTCTTCCCTATCCCAAATAAATTGACTTGACTAATAGTTCTGCACCTAAGCTCTGGCTCATACTCCTTTTGTATCATCCTTTCAGAGTGTCATCGACTAATACTAGAGTGAGATCAATTTATTGAACTTTTTATACCTATTCTTTTGAGAAAATCTTAGCTAAACTAAGTAAGTGACTCTTGAAAAGCAGAATTTTTATTCTTCATGGGATGGAATGATGAATATGTAACGTTAAATGGCAATTCAAGATGGCAGACAAGGGCGTGGCCTATTGGTTAATGAAGTTGGAATAAAAACCGTGGAAGGGCAAGGTTTAAATCCTAGCAAGAGTAAACAATGTTAGGTGATTTCTTCTCATCTAACTAAGCCTTGGTGGGGCGGAGTTACAGTATACTTGCACCGGTGGGAAGGTGTAGATATCCGGTGAAATAGTCAAGGTGGACAAACACTACCATCATGTGAAGATTCAGGAAAAAAGCTTAGGTTAATTCCTTAACATTTATTAAACCTTTGAGGTTGGTAACTTCAATTCCTTAGGAGTATACGAGGTGTCTATTAACCTTGTTAACTGTCTAGTAATAGGTTTTTCACTTGGAATTGATACCATTCTAAGATGAATTTAATCTAAGCCAGTTGTTGTGTCACATTGTCACACAATCTAATATGTAACAGTTCATATATTTGCTTTCAGGTTTAATTGAATGTGATCTAACTGTTAAGGTAATGAACGGGGAAACATCTACTTAATACTCTCTAAAGGGTGCATATTTCGTTTTAGGATGACCAGTAGAAGGGTGTAAGCTAAATATGAACACAATCCATGGCAAATGTTACATGCTCACTGTTTTAAACTGTTTTTTCTCAATTACCTGTTAGCCTGCACATCTACATTTCTCATCTCAGGTTTAGCAGTCCTGACTTTTTCTGTACAGGCAGGATGAGACCAATTTTCTGTGGTAACTTTGAGTTTGACACCAGACAGTCTGAGTTGGAAAGGCTTTTCAAAAGATATGGCAAGGTTGATAGGGTGGATATGAAATCTGGTAAACTTGTAACACACTTGTAAATTTTCTTTTCCATGCTACTTGGCTTATTAACCTTATTGTATTTTTCTTTTTTGAATATGACGACTTTTATGTGGGTGAGTTTAGTTTGTGGCGGTAACTTGTCACATACACTAACCCTTGGATGTGTGGTGTATCTGTCCTCCAAAATTATGCTTGATATTTTTCTTTAATAAAAATATACTTGATAAATTGGTTGTCTTGTTAACTACTTGCATGTGAGGCCTTACCAATGAGGTCTTGTTATTTCCTCCTGTCTATCTTACAATATAAATCTTTGTAAAGCTTGTTCATGCATAAAGTAGTCATGCAGCAGGTGCTCGGGTATGATTTCATTCTACTGGGCTAGTTGTGGATAACCAGATTAGTCCTGTATAATCCTTATTTTTTATGTCTTTCTTATTGTGGGCAATGACTACTGTGGCATCAAATGGTCTGCATAGTGTTATTTTGCCAATGGTACATCAATTATATACATGCAGCTAAACAAGGTTGTTTGCATTCCGAGAAGGCACAGCTTGCCGTTACGGACTACCTAGAGCAAGTTTGAACAAGATTATGTGAAGTCTGTGCCTGAATAAACTATAAAGTTGTAGCGAGCAACAGTAAAACTGATGGTGGTAAAGCCATTGACTCGTGAAATATGAACATGGTTATAGCACCCTCTGGCATGTCCTGATACTTTTGGTTATTGCATTTCCTGGGTATGGTATGTGTAGTGTGGTTTCACTGCTCAAAGACTCAAATGACCACAAATTAGTCTGCTGGGATGCTGCATTCCTTCTTTACATTGTGGCTACGTTGGACGGAAGATCCAGTCAGCTCATTTGTGTCAACAACAGAAGTCTTGCTGAGTTTTGGCGGGATATTAGGATATGTTTACTGAAAAAGTATATTTTTTAAGTGTAGACCCCCATACTCAATTGATTCTTTGGCGCAGGATAACATTGAATGTCCATACAATCATTGCTGATGGACGGTGTCTATTTCGTTTCCTGACCGTGACAAGTTTCTCTTCTTGTTTCAAGAAGAGTTCTCCCATCCATCGTGGCGTCACAATCACATATTATCCTCCAGTCACTATTGCCCTCCATTCCTCATGAATTTTGCCCAGCCTTCATTTTCAGACTTGTCACATTGCCGACCTTGAAGGCAGCAGTTTGAAAAGGAGAAGGCACACTTTTTACATTATCCCATCATGTGACATCCACCTTTCCCTGGCATCTTTAGTCCACCACTGAAGGTCTGTTGCTGATTTTAATGGTCAAAAGTTTCTAGATTTGACAGAGTGATTGTAATGCGTTGAGACGGTTTGCGCATCTGCTAGATAAACTTATCTTTTCTAATTTTTTTGAGCATTTTAGAGTAATGGAACCTTTCATTGGAGGGTTCTTATTGCCAACTGATTTTTTATTTAATCTTCATTCTATGTGTGATCGAACTTCAGGTTTTGCTTTTGTTTATATGGATGATGAAAGAGATGCAGAGGACGCTATTCAGGGGCTTGACCGAATAGATTTTGGCAGAAAGGGGCGCAGGCTTCGTGTTGAGTGGTCAAAGGTAATCCATTTTTGTGCCTGCAAATCTACTCCCCCCCCCCCCCCCCCTCCTCTCTCTATCGCCTATGCAAGGATTTTCCAGTTTATGCTGTGTTTTTATTTCTGTGCTGCAGGAAGAACGGAGCAGAAAGCCTGAGGTTTCTAGAAAATCTTCAAGTTCCAGAGTTTCCAAGACTTTGTTTGTCATAAATTTTGATCCATATAATACTAGGACAAGGGATTTGGAGAGGCACTTTGATCCACATGGAAAAATACTCAACATAAGGATCCGAAGGAATTTTGCATTTATTCAATTTGAATCACAGGAGGATGCCACGAGAGCCCTGGATGCTACCAATATGAGGTATATGCTTTCATCAATTGTTGTTGGAATTCGGCATGTAGTTTTTAAATGTCCACATTAATTCTCCCTAAGCGTTGGTTTTACTGCTTCTTCTCTGTTTAAATGCAGTAAGCTGATGGATCGAGTTATTACTGTGGAGTATGCGATCAAAGACGATGATGATAGGAGAGATGGGTCTGGTCCCGGTAAAACCCATGATAGATCACCTAGGAGAGGTTATGACCGAGGTCGATCTCGTAGTCCTTATGGAAGAGATCGGCCAAGTCCTGACTATGGCCGTGGTCGAGATCGGCCAAGTCCTGACTATGGTCGTGGGAGAGATCGCTTAAGTCCTGACTATGGTCGTGGTAGAAATCGGGTAAGTCCTGATTACAGTCGCGGCAGAGAGCGGCTAAATCCTGATTATGGTCGTGGCCCTAGTCCAAGTCCAAAGCATAGAGAAAGGAATTCTGAGAATGCTCGTGGCCATAGTCCAGCTGTAGGAAAGGAGAGAAATCCTGGTCATGGGAATGGTCGTACCCCTAGCCCTCGTAGAGGAAGATCTGGTCCAGGAAATGGCCTCGTGAGCAGTCCTCTGGAAAGAAGTCCTGGTTATGGTGATAGACCAAGTACTAGTCCTCAACGGGAGAGGAGAAAGAAATATAGCCCGGATGGTTATATTCCTGGTAGCAGCCCAAGTTCTAAACCGGAACCTGTAGAAAGTCCTGTACGTGATGGGAGGGAAAGTTCAGAGCGATACAGGAGGTTTGCACCTTACAAGTTTACTTGATTTTTTTTTTTTTTTTAGAACTCTTCTTGCATGTCTCTGCTTCATTACCTGCTCTTGAATTACGATATCATCCTAATAGGTTATTGTACTTGACTCATTGTGTTGGTGATGCAGTCGTTCACCTCCATTGCGGGAAAGATCACGCTCCTAATTTGCTTGAAGCTGTTTTGATCCTTGGAGTAATGGTTATGTTGAAAATGGTGCTTGTAGAATTAGACCTTGAAGTTGCTGGAGCATCAAAGTTGGATGTGGCTTTGGTAACCAGTAATGTACCTTCGGAAAATGGTTTTGTTCTTGGAAGTGATTTAGAACTGCTTCCATGTATTTCGACTGTGAACATCATACTCTGTTTCTATTTGATAATGAACCAGTAAGACTCGGGCCATTCTTTGTCTGGTTGTTTCGCCCCAATCTTGTTAACACCCCCCCCCCCCCACCCCACCCCCACCCACAAATATGATGATCAATTTGCCAAGTTGTCTTGCATAACAAATAATTGTTAATAATCAGCTAATTGTGAACCTTTTTTGTGTGTGGAGGAATCCTTAGTTTTTATCACCAAAAAAAAAAAAAAAAGAAGAGTTCTCAAGAGAAGAATGGTTGCCAGAGGATTCATATAGTTGTCCGAGATTGAAGCATAACAATTGCTGTTTGTGGGTATTGTAGGAAAGATCACGTTTTTTATACAATGATGTGTTATGATAAAGCCGAGTTATTATTCTGTGAACCCTCTTTGGTATAGCCGAGTTATTATTCTGTGAACCCTCTTTGGTATAGCTGTATCTTTGTAACTTTAGGGGGGCACAGGTGCTTAAATAGTTAATTCAACCAAAAAAGTTGTACTGTGGTTTTATTGGGGAGCAAATCTGTTCTTACGAGCTCGACTTTCATTATTCAGTATGGGTGAAAAGTTAAAAGATTATAGTTTCCTTTGCTAATTTTAAAGTAGAGATGGATTGTCTTTGTTGGAATATCTGGAGCAACCAAAGAGAAACTGATCCTTAAGAGTGAGGACTAAAACGAAGAGGATAGCCCCATCTCCAAGGTGTCAACCTCAAGTAATTTTCTACGGTACTGTTCTCTGTCCATCGACAAGGACGGGCATGTACTTTGCTCGATGTTAACCATCACATGAATCCCTTTTGCAGGACCACTTTCTAATGTTTGCCACAAGAAGTAACAATTTAAAAAAATTGAGTCTTAATTATGACATGCAAACTGATGTAGAGACTTAAAAGGCTTCAGACCGTTCACATACAGTTGCATTCCACAATAGGAGAAAAGGTCTTCTTCGCTGAACGTATATTAATCGTACAATCATATGCGGATACAGTACCAGTTGGCCTATCAAGAATCAAATTAAGATGCCAACTTTGGCAGGAGAGATGAAAAAGAATTCATGCCTCTACAAGTAAATGGTAAATCCAACTAAACTAAACTTATACACTTGACAAAGTCTCACTTTTTATGTGATTGATTGTCGTAAAAAAAGAAAAAAATTAAGAGGGATTTTCCGGGCTTTAGATGCAGATATTAGGAGAAATTAATGAAGTTAGTTGATTGTAGAGCAAGAGTTATGCCAGCTGCATAATTGAGAGTCTACCTTTATTTTCTGCGTCAACCGAAAGCCTTGGCGAATTTGATACCCAAAGGCCAAAAATGTTTCCAACTCTACCCAATCAGCCGATGGATGCGGCTAAACATTACAAAAAAGCGAAAAAACCGTAGAATTCCATGCACGCCATGCAAATTCTAATTCCTTTTAGGGGACAGTGGTTTTGATAATCCTACAGCTTAGTCTTTGGTTTCAGACCCCATTAGTGTGGTTCTACTCAGTATACAAAATGGGATTGGCTCTTATTGCGGAAAAGACAATCCACAAGATTTTCCTAATCTTTGGCTTTTATGTTAAACAGGACGAAGTCAAAAAGGTATTGTTAGTCGATTCTGTTAGTGTTTCCTAAGTGTTTTGTGTGTATGTGAACAAGATGTATGCCTTGGTTGAATAAGCAAGTAATATAATTAACTATTATATATCAGACTTCGCGGAAGAGAATTGATTAATTCCTAATAAATATCTTAAAACCGTTGGCCTATGTTTGATGAGAAACTGTGGATTATATTTTAGAAGTAGAATACTGTCATCGTTCGATTAAATCTTTGAATCTAAACAAGAATAAACCTTGTTATAAGTCCACGACTTAGTCCTTTCCACAAGTTTACAACGCACGCACATGCTATTGTTTCCTTGTTTCAAATAAAGATTTAGTTACTCTATTAGCTACTAAATGACTCACTCATGAAAATTCAGTATTCATATTTAATTTCCTACTTTTTGCACGTGATATTCATTTCTTGTAGATGTGTGGAATGCGTGTTTAAGATTATTAGCTAACAATATCCAATTAATGTACATGGATTCATCAAAATCTTGTTATTAGCATTTAATCTTGGAACTGTTTCTTCAGCGGCGGGATAAGGTTAGAAGGATCGGAGATATTGAGAGATTCGATCTTTCACAGCTTTCTCTGTTATCGTTTGTCTTTTTGATGTGGCATTGTTATCACATTGAGCTGGAGATAAGGGTTATCTTGAAAAAGAACATAAAGCATAAATCTCTTCCCTTTTTCAAAATTTTCTTCGTTTAGCTTTGAGCAAGATATCGATGAGCTAGCAAGGTTTCTCGTTGTTTTTCGTCCTCATATTTGGCGGAGGTTTAATAACTTTAAGAACTTGAAGGGGAGCCTTGGAGCAATGGTAAAGTTGTCTCTATGTGACCTATAGGATACGGGTTCAAGCCGTGGAAGCAGTCACTAATGCCTGTATTTGGATAGGATGTCTATATCATACCCCTTGGGTTGCAGCCTTCTTCGAATCATGCGTAAACATGAGATACTTTGTGCACTGGACTGCCATTTAATCATAGCAAGAGCTTCACACCTTATAAATCTAGAATGTTGAAATTAAGAAAAGGAATTTTTATGCATGATTGGGTTCACCTCTTTTGTTTTTTAGCCTAAAACAATGCATGTTTAGTTAGTGCCTTTGTGGGGTTGTTGCCTCAGCGTATTATAATTGACATATACTCTTATTTGACTTAGATCATAGAATCTGAATTGGACTGTCTCATGATATAATTAAATCTTAGGTCAGTGACCAGCATTTCAATTTTCAAGCCTTCATTTTCTAGAATTCGGCAGGGTTTGTCATTGATGCCATTTTTACTAGTTTTTCTTTTTCGACATCATTATTAGATATATAGAAATTCCTTTAACGGGTCGGGTCCGTTGCGGCGAATTCCGAATGTGTTGAGTAAAAATTGGCCTTTTGAGATCAATACCATCTCTCTTAATATTTTTAAGTTCATTCCCTTTTTGCCATGGTATAAACTTATTTACAACATTCTTATATTTTGTCAATAGTAATAGAAAATTGTGCGATATTGGAGGAGAAACGTGGAATAAAAATATAATACTAATACTTTGAATGTTCGTACACACAACTTTATGACATCATAAAAAATGTGTCATGGGTGATCAAAGGCATGTCGACTAAAATTTTTGAAATACAAAAGAGAGCGCCAATGTTAGCCACATCACATGAATGACTAATTCTTTGTTTTATATCAATGTGAACTCATATAATATCGTCGAATAAAGTTTTATATGAACGGAACTCTATGGTCTAAGCAGGGGCGGAGCCAGAGTGTGGAATACGGGTTCGGCCGAACTCAGTGGCTAATGTTCAGATTCTATATTTATCTTAAAAAATTCATTGAATACATACAAAATATTAATTTAGAACCCAATAACTTGAAAAAATTACAAAAACGAACCCACAAACTTCTAATCTTGACGCCGCCTCTGGGTTTAAGTGTATATAACGATCCTTAAAGTAACCCCACTTTCATTGTTAATGAGTATGAGAAATTCCACACGTTTTTGTTTCCTTCTCTGTTTTTGTCCCACTAATTTTCTACTCGTTTTTGCCCGTGTGACCAAGGCACTGCCACTGCCACTATCTATATTTGGACTAACTCGAATTGCCCCAACACTGCTCTGACTCTTAGATAAATAGACAATCCGTTAACAGTGACCTCTGTCCGCGTGTGAATAAAGTCTCACGTGGAAAGCAGAAAGGAAAAAAAAATTATATTTATAAGAAGTTGGATACTGTTAATGGTGTGAGGCTTTTTGGGAAAAATCATGTGGGCTTGGCCCAAAGCGGACAATATCGCACCATGTTAAGAGTATCTTTGGGTTGTTTTATCCCAATAACTGGTATCAAAGCCAATGGTTTGGCGAGATGAGTATGGAGATGCCGAAGTGGTGACGTAGGGCCCGACTTAGTGCCTTTGCCCGTCTATGGCCGGTTCGCTATCTTTACCCAGAGCTTCAAAGACGCATACATAGTGTCTCCTTGGGCTTCGGTCAGGGGCGGATCTAGGGTGTAAGATACGGGTTCCCGGGAACCCAGTAACTTTTGCGTAGACCCTGTATTTTTGTTAAAAAAATTATTAAATATCTATAAATATCTATTTGTGAACCCAGTTATTATCGTATATTAATTTGAAATTGCGACAGCAACCCATAAACTTAAAATCCTGGATCCGCCTCTGACTTCGGTGACCGTAAATACTCGAATCATGTGGGTGACACACTGTTAATCTCCAGATTAGCACATAAACGGTGATGGGTCATGTGGAACTTAGTTCAAGGGAAGATTGTTGGTCCCCTATGGAAAGTAAAAAGGAAAGGAAATTCTGGTTTAGTCCAAAGCGGACAATATCACACCATTAAGAGTGTTTTTGGACAATTTTAGCCCAACAACCTCGGAACATGCGATGCATTTTGAATTAAAAAAGAGTTATTTTCAAGTGCACAACACACGTCTGAAAATATAGTTAATTTCTTTAAAAAATTACATCAAACTTAAACAAAAACGGCATGAAGAAACAAGTTAGTCGACATTTGTGGTGCTTGCTAGCAGGAAGGCCTCCCACTTGGCATTATTTCGCTGTTGCAACAATGACTCTTATGGCCGTATAGTGTTGTATTAAGACTGTCATTGGGGAATTCCCATTTTTAGATTCCAAATGCTGACTTTAGTTTTCTTATTCAGACCTTCATTCCACTCTGCTATACTACCAATAAGTAGTAATGCCACACCCTTCTAACTACTTTGGACATCCTAATACATGGAAGACCGGTTCCATTTGCTCCAGTGGCAAACGCAAGAATATGAACAAGCAACACTGATTAGTAGTCACAATTCAATTTGTTCATGCGTATTTTAGTATGGGACTCTGGATTTATAAGGCATTAGTTTGTGTCCTAATTTACTGAATTACACCACTTATAGTAGAGTGTGCATTTGCACCACATCCCTCTTTCTTGATTTTTTTTTCAAAAAAAAAAAAAAAAAAAAAAAAAAAAATTAGTATTTGTTATGGTGGTAAGCCCATGATTGTTAAAGAGGGAAAGATAAAAGCGAAAATATCTTTGGTGGGAGTGAAACCGGCACTAAACGATGTAGGATGAAGTTGTATACTAATAAACTATAATGTTTACAATCTCACTCCTTTCTAGTTCATACAATCACATTTCATAAGCTTGGTAATCCTTGTTTCTTTTTTCTTTCTAATAAAGTCTTTAAGTAGCTATGTCTTAATATGGTCACAAATTGTTGATCAATTAGCAGACAAAAAATGAAAAGAATTTAAGGCGAAGATTGAGAGTGTGGGACAAAAAAGGTGATAACGAAGATTCTTTGGTTGGATAGAGTTATAAACAGATGAGTGGAGATGAGTTAGTCTTAATTCTAAGGTGGGACTTTCGGCGAGCCGTGCCGCACCAAAAATATTAAGGCTGGCAAAAACTGGAATTGCTTATCAATTTTGCTTTTTCTTTACCCTACAGGCTATATTTTGGGCCCTTTTAACGGGCCTTTTTTTCCAATGGCCGGTTTTGGGTCCTTCCTTATCTATCTGTCCAAAAAGTTACTTTCTCAATTGTCTCTGCTTATCACTTGTCCATCATCTCTTTGTGTTAATTCTACAAAAAACACACTCGTGTGTTACTCTACTCTAACACTCAAGTGGTCATTATAAGTTTAAAAATACCCCCAACAACTTAAAATTATTCAGTTTAATAGAAAGTTGAACATATGCTAAACAACCTAAAAAAATGTTCAACTCTAAATCTTAGTTGACATAAGAATGGAATTCCACTGTTCTTAAGAGGGAAGGCCGGTTAAATTTCAGAACAAAACAAACCATGTTCAGACAAAAAACTCCCCCTAGAGCTCCTTATATAAACCCCATCAGTTCTTGACCTTTAAAACCCCCCATTAAACAAACTGAAACTTCTCCCTTTCTTTCTTTAACTCTATCTATATCTCTTTTGCTTTCTTTGATTCTTTCCATTTGAGGTACCTATTGCTATTCTTGGAAAGAATGTGCCATTCAAACGAACCATACGGAGAAGCAAATTTCCTCTCCATTAAAGTTGCTCAAGAAGCCGACATGTTTGCCCCTTTGATACCCAAAAGCCCAACAAATCAATATCAAGCCCAGAATTCTGAGGTCCCTAATTACCCCCACAAAACCAACAACAAAATCACTCATCTTTCCCTTGTTTTCAAAGAAGCTCAATCCATTGCTAATATCGCTTTTCCTATGATTCTCACCGGTCTTTTACTCTACTCCCGGTCCATGATCTCTATGCTTTTTCTTGGCCGGCTCGGTGATTTAGCACTAGCCGGCGGTTCTCTTGCTATTGGATTCGCTAACATCACTGGATATTCAATCCTTTCTGGTTTAGCCATGGGTATGGAACCCATTTGTGGACAAGCTTTTGGTGCCCAAAAATTCAATCTTCTTGGGCTAACTTTGCAAAGAACCATTCTTTTACTTTTATTTACTTCATTTCCAATTGCTCTGCTTTGGGTTAATATGAAAACCATTTTACTCTATTGTGGCCAAGATGAAGATATTGCTACAGAAGCACAATCTTATCTTTTCTATGCACTCCCTGATTTATTCGCCCAATCTTTACTTCACCCTTTGCGTATTTATCTTAGAACTCAATCTATAACTCTGCCTTTAACTTTTTGCGCTGTCCTCGCAATTCTTCTGCATATACCCATAAATTTTCTTCTTGTTACTAAACTTAATTTAGGGGTCAAAGGAGTTGCCCTGAGTAGTGTTTGGACTAACTTCAATCTAGTAGTTTCTTTAATTATCTATATTATTATCTCTGGTGTATATAAAAAGACATGGGAAAAGTTGTCAATGGAGATTATCAAAGGATGGAAATCGCTATTAAATTTAGCGATCCCGAGCTGCATTTCGGTTTGTTTGGAATGGTGGTGGTACGAGATAATGATTTTGTTATGTGGGCTATTGATAAACCCGAAAGCTACAGTGGCATCAATGGGCATTTTAATTCAAACAACTTCATTGATATATATATTCCCATCTTCTCTTAGCTTCAGCGTGTCAACAAGAGTGGGAAATGAATTAGGAGCAAGGCGGCCGGATAAAGCTAAGGTTGCTGCCATTGTAGGACTTGCTGGCAGCTTCATTTTGGGCTTTACAGCACTGTTTTTCGCGGTGACAGTGAGGAAAGTTTGGGCCAAGATGTTCACTAATGACAAGGAGATTTTGGCGTTAACATCACTTGTATTACCAATAATTGGGCTTTGTGAACTGGGAAACTGCCCGCAAACAACTGGCTGTGGGGTACTGAGAGGAACAGCGAGGCCTAAAGTTGGAGCAAATATAAATTTAGGTTGCTTTTATCTTGTTGGAATGCCAGTAGCAGTGGGGCTAAGTTTTTATGCAGGCTTTGATTTTGAAGGATTATGGCTTGGATTATTGGCTGCGCAGGCTTCTTGTATGGTGACCATGTTACTTGTTTTGCTCCATACAGATTGGGATTTTGAAGCACAGAGAGCCAAAGAACTAACAGGAACTACTACTGTTAGCAACTTTCTTGATCACAACAAAGAAACTGAAGAAAATAATGAAATTTTTTTATGTTAATGTTTTTTTTTTTTTTTTTTTTTTAAAACCCCTGATTTAATTCCTCCATTAATTATTTTATGTTTAGTAGGAGTAATATATAGATGTATAGAGAGGGGAGGGGGCAGGGGGTGTATTGATAGTGTTTTTTTATTTTATTTTTTTATTGCTTTTTAAAGCTAAGGCTGAAACTGAAGCAGACTCTTTGTTTTGGTAATTTGGGTGATATCCAAAATGGGAATTATCACAGGAAATGACAAAAGATTGTTAGCTGGAAAAACCAACAAGAAGAAAAGGTGCCGTTTGTACTGTAGCTAAAGAAACATAAATGAAGAGTTTCTATCGAATTCGGTTCATTGGCTGAGTGTACTATATATCACATGTTTCCTCTTCTGTTAGTTTTTGTTTTTATTTTCTTACATAGAGCTAGTAACAAATTAAATAAGGTAAAAACAAAAAAAACTTAAGAAGATAATCCAAGATCAGTTATTTGTGTCTCATGGTGTCCTGCATGCATGGGCTAGGATAAGATTTTGTACAAATATGACAGAAAAAATAACAATCCTAGGTGGCCAAAACAACGTCATATGTCAAATGGAACTAAGGAAACAAAACAAAGATGTTTCCAACCAACCATAATATATACTCATAATATCTTAGCTTGTTTAGTACAAGCTATTCCCGTGCTCAAATAAAAGGTAGTAGAACTTACAAAAATTAACACCCATAGGATCCGTACATTTGATAACTACTCACTACTTCAACAAATATTAGTTGACATTTTAAAATTTTAAAATTTGCAATTTGAACAGGAAACAATCAAAATTTTGTTTATATATATAGCGCATCCCCATTGTCAAAGTCAGTGCTCAATAGAGTTGTAAGGTCGCATTTCCAAGTCTCAATAGCCTTGTCATATTTCACCACACGCCATGCCATATAATAGAAAATATAACCACGGAGGTTTCAATTTAAACGAATTGTTCATGTCAGGGTTGAGAAAATTTCACTAGCTATAAAAATGATGCTTTTACATGAATTCTGGTAAAAGTTAAGTGGCTAATTAATCCCCGGATGAGTTTAAGTTTTGTGCACTGACAGTGTATAATATTATTATACCATATATCACGTTTACTTACCTGCAAACATATGCTCTATAATCATACATACCTTAAAAAACAAAGGAGTAATAAGTTAGGTTACACTAATAATAATACAACTGCTTCCCAGATTGTTACATTACTGCGTTTCTTCTCTATATTATTCTGATTTTGCATGTTTGCTTTGAGCTGAGGGTTTATCGGAAATAATCTCGCTACCAGCACAAGGTAGAGGTAATTAGGTTGCGTACTCACAATCAGGGGCGGATTTAGGGGGTGAACCCCCTTCGCCGGAAAATTACACTCTACATATAAGGTAAAATCCGATTTTATCTCTATATATTATATTTTGAATTCCCTTGATATTGTCCAAAAGTATAGCTTAGCGGTCAAGAGGGTTCAAAACCTTTGTTAGTTTGCTGTTTCAATTTCCACTAGCCACAGTTTCTTTTAATTTTCTTTCTTTTTTGAACCCCTTAGCGAAAATTCTGTCTCTGCGACTGTTTATAACCCTTCTCAGATCCCACTTGTAGAATTACACTGAGTTTGTTGTTCTCGTAGTTAATATAGTAATACAACTTAACTCAGAAGGGCTAGATTGAAGTGTTAAAGTTGGTTTTTAGTATTAATGAGATAAGAAGCCGCAATTACTGTTAAAAGGAATATGATTCGAAAAGCATATATACTTTGTTTCTTTTTAGAGGTACAGAGGAGTTTTGTGAATCTCAAAAGATTAACACACATGACACAACAGGGGAGAAGCATTAGGTGAGTGGTGGAAGCAAGTGCAAATATTATGCAACTTGCATTAATATATCAACAATCTAAAGCATATATGCCAATGCTGCTGCAGCTGGTCAACCGCTTAAAGTAAAAGATGATCTTCGATATCCTTTTTCAATACGGAAAATTTATTTGGCCAAACCAAGAATGGCCCAAACGTCCCAAAGGGGGTATAATGGTAATTTCGCACGGCTTTTGAGGGCATAATAGATATTTGCGCATTTTCGTTTTCCATGTATACCCTTTGGCAGATTTTTCGTTTTAAATTAATTTTTTTCAACAATTCTCTCTCACTAATTTAATTGTCTTACCTTCCCAAGATGCATGCTTCATCAATTTCTATAAAGCACATATACATATACTATACTAATTAAACGAAATACACTAAAATTTACATATACTATACCAATTAATCGAAATACACTAAAATATACAGATAATATATTAGAGGAAATACGTTTAAAAATTAGAAAAGATACGTATAAAAATTAAACTACTAAAGTGGTCACTTTCTAACCCTAAACACTTAATATATTTGGCCGAACCTAAAAAGCTTTTCCAGCCCCCTTTTTTCTATCTTTATTTTCTCCTTCTTCATCTCTTATCTTTCTTAGGGTTAGATTAAGGAATGGACCACAGGAAGAGGAATAATGCTTCGAAAGTTTATGTAGTGTTTCGTGGTAAGAGGCCCGGATTGTACAACTCTTGGCATCGGTGTGCTCCTATGGTTATTGGTGTCAAGGGCAGCATCTTCAAGGCCTTCAAAACGTATGATGAAGCCATAGCAGCTTTTAATGAGTTTAGAAATGGATCTCAAGCTGATAATATATCGGCATCGAAGGTGTATGTGGTATTTCGTGGTAAAAAGCCAGGATTATACAACTCTTGGTGTGAGTGTGCTCCCTTGGTTATAGGTTTCAAAGGAAGCATCTTCAAGTCTTACAAATCTTATGATGAAGCAGTAGCAGCATTCAATGAATTCCAAAAAGAAAATGTTTACAGTGAAGAACAATCTTCAAGTTCGTGTGTTGATGAAAGTGCTATGTCATCCGTGTTGTTAGCTGGAATGTTTGTAGAGATGAAAATTTCAAAAAATTGTTCAGTTTGATTATTGTTTATTTTGGTTCAATCTCTGTAGAATAGATGCCAAAGCCTTTGTCTTTTGTACTCCATGTTGGAATGAAATAAGAATATAATTTTTTTTAAAAATATTTTGAAATGAACTGAATGTTTTAATTTGTCTATATTGTTGGAACCTTGTATGTGCCAAAGTGTTATCATTTTGAACTTGTTTTAATCCCTACTACATTGATTAATAAGCACTCAACTATCTTCAAGTACTCATCAACTATCTCCATGAGTTCAGTATGTGCTATATTTTGCATCTTGAAGTACTAAACTATCTTCATAATTATTGACAATACATTTTCCTATTTGTCCAGTGTTGTTGTCATAAGTTGAATGTGCTATATTAATTTGGAAAATAAATTGACCAATTTTAGAGTACTTAATTAATCTTTACAAATGTTATTATTAGTACTTTCATTTCATTAGGCATCAAACGAACAGTTGGAATATTGAAGACAATAGGACTGTTTTGTTAACTTTAATCAAACGATCATTATGCCTCGCTGTTTTTAGAAGGGTTTTCCATACCCTTTTGTTGTATCATCAAACTCTATTCTTGCTAATACAAGACCCCAGGTAATCTGAAAAAAGTTCATAAAAAAATATAAAATATAAAAAAGATTCAAAACATAATAATAATAATAATTTCCTTCATTAATACGACATTGGGTGATAACATCACCAATACATAACTTGAAAAATAAAAACATCAACATAGGGGCCGGGGTAGAAAACTTCATAGACGAACAAACACATAATAAAAAAGAAATGAAATAAATCTTCATAATGCATGGACTACTCAATATGCTGGTTCACTGAAAGAGACTTTGAGGTCTTGAAGGCGGACTCGGTATCACTAGTGATAACAATGATAGAATTGCTCTTAGCTCCACTATGGACGGATGGCGTGGGCATATCGTCAAGCATAGTATAGAGCGAAGTAAGGGGATGCTCTTCCAACATGACACTCTTGAGGTAATTAATGCTACTATCATGAACCACCCTCTCAATCAACTCTGTAACCTCACGCTTCAGCTTGGTGTAATCACGCTTTAGATCTTGGTACAAGATGTTATGACTCACAGGTGAGCCATGCAGCGGTTGTTCAACATGTTTCTTTGTCGGGGTCTTATCCATCATTATGCTTAGTAGTATTTCTAGTTTGATTGTCTTATGCAGGTCTAGCATATTTTCAGAAAAATATATAGGGAGGATTATAATCTCTTTCCACTTCCCGGTAGGAATTAAAATCTCTTTGTAGAGACCCTATGCAACCATTACACTTCCCAATAACAGCCCCTTCCACTCCTCCATGCATCCATTGCACTTCCCAGTAGCCCCTTACACTCCTTCATGCAACCATTACACTTTTCAGTAGTATATTTCACTCCTCTATGTACCATTACACTCCTCCATGACTATACAGATTGTTTTCGTTTTACAGATTGTTTATACAGATTGTTTTCGTTTTATTTTATTTTTTAAAATTCTGCCATATAATGGAAGTGCACTTCATAGGTTTTATCTCATATAGTCTTACCTTAGAAGACTTGATTAATCCATGTAAAGATTGTATAATATGGCCCACGTGAGTATTTTGGTTTAATATAAATATATTTTTTGATTAGGTTTAGGTTTAGGTTTAGGTTTACGTTCTCTTTTGATTTAGGATCGTTTAGGTTTACGTTTAGGTTTAGGTTTTGATTAATGAGCAAATTAATGTCGATTTTAAACTTTTTTTGGAAAAAAGAAAATAATCTTCATAGTCTTGTTCTTGTTTGTAAAATGATAGAAAAAAATTGGTGGACTTCCGCACTGTTTAATGACTTCCCAATTTTAATTGGCTATTTATAAAACATTAGTCTTCTTGAAATAAAAAAAAATATAACAATAATAAATGGAAAAAAACACAAACAATATTATAAAGAACAATCATATGAATCCATTACTACGATCCATTTGAAGTCATTACATATAACTAAAGAGATGAAATTATCAAGCTAAGCATTAGTTAATCCTAGCTCTTCAACAGAGAAGATCACAACCCCTGATGTAGCCTCAACTAGTTCAAAGAGAAGGACATTCCCTTTCTTCAGATTATTGTCGACAACAAATTGTTTCCACCCATTGACGAGTCTTCTACGAACACCACTTTTGAGAGTCACAACCCACTCCTTCCCATTACATCGAAGCATTGTTTTAACCGAAATAGGAGGAAGATAGCCACAGAATCTCTTTGGAATAAACTGCAAGAACATAATGTATTGATAGGGTACAGGGTTCATGCCTAGTTGAGATAATCAACAATTATCAAATCATGAAAATTTAAGAAAAATAAAATTACC